CCGCTCTGAGATAATGAAGTTAGACATACATAAAATTTTGTGTGATTTCTGGGAGTTCATGGACCCTATGAGGCCCATCTAGTCAAAGAAATTATATACAAGGTTTTTTCCTCCCCTCTTAAATAAAGGAGAATCTGGAATCCCAAACAACTATTATAAAACGTGGGTTGTGCTATAACTTGGGGGAAGAGTTTCTGGGAGCTAAGGATTTATAGTTTTAGTATCCCTATTCAAATTGCTTAGGAAGGGGGGCACAGGTAGGGAAGAATAGAGATACTTGGAATTAGACAAAGGGGAATGAAGGGAGGGAAGCGAGTATGGGGATAAGAAGGATAGTAGAATGAAGGGGACATTATTACCCTATGTGCATATATGATTACACAATTGGCGTAACTCTACATCATGTACAACCAGAAGAATGAGAAGTTATACTCCATTTATGTACGATGTGTCAAAACACATTCTACTGTCATGTATAACTAATCTGAACAAACAAAAGAAAAACAAGATGCTTAGGACCAGAGTGTTTTCAGATTTCAATTTTCTGGATTTTGGAATATTTGCATGGACTTTACCAGGTGAACATCTCAAATTAGAAAAGTTGAAATCCAAAATGCTCTGAAATATGAAATGTTATGAGTGAGGGACATGGCATTCAAAAAGATTCAGATTTTGGAGCATTTTGGATTTCATATTTTCAGGATTTTTTTCAACTTCCATCTGTAAAAATCCTGACAGTGCCGTGGTACTTGAGACAATAAATTATGCTAAGAAAGGAAAGGGAAGATAAAAAAGAAGGAGTACACAGAAACCATGGCAGGGAGGGAAAAGACAGGGAGGAGAAAAATACTATCTTCCAAGGATAAACTATTTGCTAGGTGTCATACTATATTACCACACATACTAGTTATTCAACTTCTGTAGATACATAAGAAAGGCACTGCTACCTCTATTTTACAGGTGAGGAAAATTAGAGCTCAGAGAACCTTAATACCTTGCCTCAAATCATACACAGCTAGAAATTAGCAGATCTACATTCAAACCAAAATCTACTGACTACACAGGCCATACTTTTCCACATTCAAATTAACAAGCCTGAACAGAATCCATCATACTGTGCTTAGATGCCATGTAAGAATCCTACTAAAATGACAATATGCAATAATGTTTTTCTTTGAGTTACTGAACATTGGGACTTCCTTTATCAAACAATGATAATATGAGTTGACAATTAAGAAACTTAATAGTGATATGCTTTTAAATACAGGAAAAACTTAGAAGAAGACAATTGAGAAGTTAACTTTTTAAAAAAGGGACAATTTCTTTAAAAAAAAAATCTGCTATGTTTTCTGTTTTAGAGGAAAGTTTCCTGGAGAAAGAGAATAAACTGGTTTAGAATGAATCACCCTATTCAGAATTCCGCATTTCATGTGAATACCCCAGATCTTGATGAGGTCACACTGGTTAACCAACACAGCATACCTTCCAATTTACAGCATTAAGAAAGAAGATATCTTAAAGGCTTATTAAGTGGTCTCATTTTAAAAGTAATAAGCCCTGAATAAAACTGAAGTGAATATTTAAAGAAACTTACCGTAAACTAGGGTCTGAACTGCCTAAATTAAGTAATGCGATATTGAGCAGTGTTCCAGGGACATCTTTTGGTCGAATCTTGGTGTGCTGGGGGATGGAGTCAGGCTGTGACAACTCCCAGCGGGTCCGGATATGAATGATAGATTGAACAATGGCTTCGCACTCCTGGTGCATGAAAGTGAGAGGTGTGCCCTGGTTTGCAATGGTTAAGGTGAATTGGTTCTCATCCACTAGGCAGATTTCTTCAATTTCCGAGGCATAATAGATATCATTTAGAAAGACTGATTGCCCTAGGACTTTTGTTCTCTCTGCTGAGGTTACTTGAACAGCAGTAGAACCAACCTGGAAAGTGGTGGTAAGGCAATAAAGTGGAAAAGAATTAAATTCCATTATAAAGGATTCCAAGAGGCTCCAAAAACCAACCACTACCCACTCACCATATTTTTCATTTACAGAAGAATTACTACAGTATATATTCAAATACATTAATTATTGTGATAAATACTCTCAAAAGAAAACGAAAACATTAGAAAAAAATTAATTTGGCTTAACAAAAAAAGTTGAGAATCCTATACACATGTGCTGATTTAAACCTGAAGGTTCATGGTCTTTGCTCTGCAAAAATTATGTACTAATCAGAAGAAATCCCACTAGGTGATTTCCATTCTCTACACATTCCTACCATTCGATTGACAGATAGCAAACTACCCATCCTACAGCACTCTTCTGCCTCCAACCCAATCTAGACTTACTCCTCTCTTGTCTTCTGCAGAACCTCTATAGAGAGAGAAATTTTGGTCTTTCTACATCTGGATTTATTTGACATCTGATGTACAACTATGAGGAAATTTGGCCAGGATATAGTCTGATTAGGCAAGAAAGGCAATGAATCAATCACAATCACAGAATTAAACTTACCTTAATAGAAACTTTGGTATCTTTGTGAGCTAGTTTGAGAGCATTATGGAATACCTTGAGGTCCTCTTCCAAAGCCAATGTAGCAGCAGGTAGTTTTTGTTGTTCATGCTCTATGTGTTCAGCCAGTTTCCCAGGACAGTCTATGAAAATGAGTCTTTTGCTGCCTTTGAGGCCAGTCAGCAGCCGCTCATGATACTTGGTGTATTCTCTGACCCAGGAGTTGCAGTTATAGATATAGACTGCAGAGACGTTATCATAAGCAAAGCCAGGAAAAACAACAAACCACTTCGAGAGAAAGTCTGTTTTAAAGCGATTGCTTGGCCCAGTATGGGTAAGGTCCACTACAATTTCATATGGCTTTGCATAATATGGCTTCAAAGTCAGCAAGACGTGGTATATCAGCAAATCACCATTGATTTGACCAGTTTTGAACCTAAGAAAGATGATAAAAGAGGACAAAGATTATTAAACTTTTGAATAAATATATAAAGACACAATTAATCTCTATTCTCTTTATTCTGGATTAGTTTCCTAGAGAGAACAGTAGTAGAAAACCATTATTCAAAATCTAGACCTATGTTTTAAGTCAGTTGTTCTTCAGACATGGAGAAATAAGGCTAAAGTAAAACAGAAGAGACAAATTTCCAATTCAAATATTTTGAACAATACATTTTGCCTATTAGTCAAGAAAGGAGGAAGACAGTAGTCACTGGTTCGTTGCTTCTAAGCCTACCAAATTTCTCAGGTAAACAGTTTGGGTAGGAATCACCCACCTGGAGGTCTGGAATGAAATGTGGTATGCTTTATCCAATCCATTTATCCCACCTCAACCAGACATTGGTCCAGCAATGAACACACGACTCAAAATCAGTTCTACCAGGCCAGAAGCCTAGTTAAGTGAATAGCTTATAATGTTGGGTTTTCAGAACTTTTTCTAAAACATGTACTTCTGGGAGCTGCTAGCTCATATGTCAGGATATAAAGGAAAAAGTCTGTCTAAAAACTGAAGAGAATTAGCTGAGAATTAAGAGAAACTGGGGCCTTGGCCATATCATTAGAGTCCCAGATAAAGTCTCTCCTGAAGTCAAATTTATCCCCGCATTCTTCAGCTGTGTGAACAAATAAATATTAATTTTTGATTAAGCCATATATGGTCATATGTTGCTTTAAACCAAAAGAATACTAATTAATATGAGTAGTGTGGAGAGAAAGCCCTGAAGAACATGGTACCGAATTTTCAAATCCTAACAACCTATTTTACCTTAGGGCTAATGGTATTTAGTTAGCTATGTGGACTTCTGCCATCAAAATCAATTGGGATGCTTGATAAAAAAAGCCCAGGCCTGCTAAATATTAATATATGGGGGGGGGTGGCATTTTTCTTATTTTTAAACAATCCTTTGATCTTTATATGCACAAACATTTCTGAATCACTATTTAAAATTAGGGACTTATTTAACTTTTTTTTTTAATTAAGAAAGGAATGATATAACCAAAGAGTTAAATATAAGACATATGAAGGAGTTGGGGTTAGCAAAAAGGATATTATAATAATGTAGATATGGCTAATAAGGACCTAAAATACTATGGTGATAGTAAAAATAGCAAAGATGAAATCAATTTAAGAATATGAAGAAAGGACCAACATGATCCAAAGTCTGATTAGGACTGAAACAAAGAACACGAACTAAAAGTACTTTCTGTTTATCAACCCTCTGAGATTACAAAGCAAGTTACTATCAAGAACAGAAACTAAGAGATCATGAAAGAGGCAGCAACATTTGCAGAAAAAATGAAGTTCATTTTAGACTTGTTAAATTTCAGGTGGTGACAGGACATGTGAGTAGAATGTATGTGTATACATACATACTGTATCACACAAAGGCATCTTCAGTCCCACATAATCTAGGTTTACTAGATATTTTCTCAAATCATTGTTATAGTTCCAAATTTGAAATGTTGTATACGGGTATCAATGTTTTTATAATCTGACAAATACCAAAGACTCCAAACTCATGTTTTAAAATCCTTCTGTGATATATAAATAAAATATCTGGAGAAACCAGGTATGGTAGCACATACCTATAAGGATTCAGTGACTAGGGAGGCTGAGGCAGAAGGATCACAAGTTTGAGGCCAACCTCAGCAACTCGGAGAGACTCAAAAGTAAAAAAAAAAAAAAAAAGGGGGTGGGGGCTGGGGATGTGGTTCAGTGGTTAAGTGCCCCTGAGTTCAATCCCTAGTCCCCATACTCCCTGCAAAAAAAAAAAAAAAAGATGCCGTCTTATAACTTCTATTGAATGATACAAACATCACTGAGAGGCATATAGCAGGCATGTAAAACGATCAAAAGAGCCAAAGGCATTAAGTGGAAAACCCTCCCTGTTCTGGGGGCGGGATTTGTTCCACAAAGCTTCCTGTTATAAGACTGGCCAGCTAGACAAGTTGAAGGTTTTTTTTCTTTTTTCTTTTTTTCCTCTGTGACTTGTTGCTTGAGTTGCAGCAAAAAGGAAATGTGTCATCTGTGGTTTGGTTTTAGAAGTGGAAAGCTAGCTGTACATATCCTTTTTTTTTTTTCTTAAACTGCAGATTTACTTAAGTTTTGTATTCTCCAAGTCTTATTCTACTTTAAATAAGAGGACAAGAAAAGAAGTGACTTATTAAAATCACATTATAATCAGATTTTGACCAAGAATTTTGTAAGGTAGGTCATATGTATGGTTTTTCTTATGACTTTTCACTTACAACTTTATTCGGATTAGTATTTGAGGAAGTGCTTTCAAAGAGTAAGAATCTCACTAACAAAGAAGAATCATAAGTAACTGAAAATATTTGCTGGTTTTTTCCTGTTATGTAAAATTATTTAAATATTATAAAATGAAATGGGAAGATGATTGTTAACATGAAGTTTTAAATTAATATTAGGATCTGATTCTAGACCCTACAAGTAAATTGAAACAACTTGTTATTTAAAAAAAAAAAGTTTAAAAAGTAATTCTCATTATTGCTATGCTTAGGCATTATAAAGTTTATTGAAAATAACCAGAGATTAAAAAAAAAAATTGGTAAGACAACCTTGATTGTATGGCATAAAATAGAGAGTAGAAACAGTCTTCAATTCTCAGGCATTTGTAAGGGTAAAAGAAAGTCACACTTTGTTATCAGTTTGTTTATTTGGGCATGGCAGTACATCTGGCTGAAGACAATCAACAGCGGGCCTATTATCTGTCCCGTGGTAAGCACTGCTAAAATGTGTACAAATATTATGATGCATGCTACATTGTTATGGACTAATGTGACGAGAATAATCTACTTTAAATCATTTAACATCTAACGCAGAAGTCCAGTCTAGTATAAAAAGATGAAAATCACTTGCTAACTCAATTTAAAGTATTTCGTTGTGAAAGAATCAAAGTATCCAAAGATTTATATCATTCAACTTAAAAGCTGAGGCGGAACAGTACTAATTAGTCAGTGCACTGTATCTTTAACTGTTAATGGTCATGATCCAAAAAGTAATCTTGATCCTAGAACATTTAATAAAGTATTTTTCCTCTCTACTATTAACATGAAATATTTCTTTAGGTTAGTTTCCAAATTAACCTTGCTTATTATATGCTATTTTTATTTATGTCATTCAACATATCAGATTTATTATTCTCCATTTCTACATTTCAATACTATTATCTAATGACATATACAGCTATTACTTATAAAACATTAACATCCAAAAGCATTATTAGCAGAGTAGCATCTGTGTCACTTGGGAGTGGGTCAGAGACGTAGTCTCAGGTCCCACCCTAGACCTGCTGAATTAGAAACTGCATTAAGATTTTTTAAAAAAGATCATGCACATTCAAGTTTGAAAATAATTTATATATAATATACAGGGTTCTTCCCCCGCACCCCTCCACCCTGTACCAGGAATCAAACTCAGGACCTCAAATGCTAAGACAAGTACTTTACCATTGAGCTACATCCATGGCCTTACACAGGGTTAACTTTTCTTTTTTAGTTGTTAATGGGCCTTTATTATTTATTTATTTATATGTGGTTCTAAGAATCAAACCCAGTGCCTCACATATGCTACGCAAGCACTCTACCGGTGACCCACAACCCCATCTCCTTACACAGGTTTCTTAACCGGACAACTGCATTTAGTAAATCTCAGAACAATCCAGTTTTTGCTTTTAGTTTCCTTGAATAAATGCTAATAAAAATATACTTAAAAACATAGTTCAGGACAAAGTGACTACTATTACAAAAGAGATACCCCATTAATGGTTAGATTTTCTGATAGGTCAGTAGTATCTGGACCAGATAAGGTAATTCTACTTAAATCTCTGTAAACATATGGTGGACAATACGAATTAGAAAGAGAACCTGTCCCCTTTTTGTATAGGCTTCTAGGAAGCCCTGAGCCATTGACGCTCATCTTTTTTTTTTTTTTTTTTTTAAGTGATGGTAATTAAATTTAAGGCTTTGCCCATTTTAAGCACTATATCACAGAGCTATACCCTAGGCACTGAATCTCAAATGCTTCAATTATACATTGGGATGCTTACAATCTGCCACTTCATTCTAAGTCTCTAGGATCGTGATGATATATTTCTTCCCATTTTATGATACAATTTTGTTTTTAGAATTATGCCAAAATCAGAAAAGAATGTAAGTTATAAAATAATGAAAAGCAGTCAACTTCTGTTGAACTACTGAGATTATTCAGAAGAAATTTTTTCCCCTGCTTTTTTTTTTTTTTTAAGAGTTGCAATAAGGAACTGGGGATGTAGCTCAGTGCGGTAGGGCACTTGCCTAGCATGTTTAAGACACTGGGTTTAAACCCTAGTATCAGTAAACAAAGTCACATTAAGTTAGGGGAAATATAGTGAAAAAAGAGGACCACCACCATAAATTGCTTTTGTAAATACTGGTAAAATATTTCTAAGTACCTCATTATTCTAATCATCAAGATAAGCACTGAAGAAAAAAAAAAAAACCCTGAATTCCTATTTGAAGTCCATTTTCTTTTAGTTTCTATCAAACTTTCCCCCCCTTCCTTCTAAAACACACATAAAAAAACAAACAAAACAAAACAAAACCTTTCTTTTTCTTTTTATAAGTAAAAAAAAATTTTCAAGGCCAAATTCTTCTTTACTACAAAGATTGGTCACATTTTAGTTGGAGGGTGGAGAGTTTCAGCAGAATGATCCTTAAATGGTTTTCTTCTTAAAATGAGGAATCAAAATCGTAAAAGCAGAAGTATCTCACTCAAAGCTGAAGTCTAGCAAGTTTAAAAGGGAAAAAAATTAGAAAAGTCACAGTATTTATTTAAAACTGATTAATAAATATTTGCAATGCTAATTTATAGCATCTAAAAGTACAGTAGACATTAAATGCTTCTTTATACATAATACATAAGAATAATAGAAATCTTCTTTATATATAAGAATAATGGAAAATTCAGTTGAGAAGGAATTCAATAGCAAATGTTAGGCATAAGCTAGTAGTTTACTTTTAAAAACTGAACTGTTTGCCTTTTAACATCAGTCACCAAAACTAAGGAACCATTATTCACAAATTAACAAATGTTACTGATGTCCCAACAGATCACCAGTATACTCATGGAAATGGATCACACAGGACATTATCTGCATCTTGCCTTTCTGATGACAACAACTTTTTTTTTGTCTCCTGGAACAAAAGCAAACTACACACATCTTCAGGCTGACAGTACTACTGCCTGGGATTCAGTTATTCAAAACATCACAAGCAGATACCCAGATGAAAACACTGCCACAACCCCTGTGACTCCTGAAGTGGATTACAAAGCTAATTCTACAAACATGCCTGAAAGAGCAACATCACATCACATCACATCTTTAACTCCTAAATCTGAGCAGGAGCTCTATAAGCCTTCTGTTGCAGGGAACAGTTCTCCAACAGTTGAAAACACAAGCAAAAGTCATGGTGAAATTTTTAAAAAGGATGTCTGTGAGGGAAACTACAACTCAGCAATGCTAATTTGCTTAATTATAATTGCAGTGCTTTTTCTTATCTGTACCCTACTATTTCTATCAACTGTGGTTCTGGCAAACAAAGTCTCATCTCTCAGAAGATCAAAACAAGCAGGCAAGCGGCAGCCTAGAAGCAATGGTGACTTTCTGGCAAGCAGTGGACTATGGCCTGCTGAATCAGACACTTGGAAAAGAGCAAAGCAGCTCACAGGGCCCAACCTCGTGTTGCAATCTACTGGAATGCTCACAGCTACAAGGGAAAGAAAAAATGAAGAAGGAACTGAAAAAGTTACTAACAGATGCTTTAGGGAAGAAAAAATGAACGCAAAGTAGTGATGCGGGAGGTTATGAAGTAAAAAAAAAAAAAAAAAGGAAGTCAGTTTGGTATTTAATGCCAAAGTGTTGGACAGATGAGCTAAAATAATGACATGCAATTTAGCATCAGACATATAAGAAAGGGAGATTATATGCCTGCTTACTTAATTACTGAAACTGTATGATTCTGTTTGACATCGAATATTTTAAAAAGAAAATAAACCATGAAGCCTTTGAGTAAGGTTTTAAAACTAAGATGGAAAAAAAGATCAAGGGATAATTAAATATTCTCTATTCAGCAATAGTTAGAAGATCTTTGTCTGAATGTAACTGAACTCTGAAGTAGTTTTAGTATGTTCTTAGAGTCAAGTATATACTTCAATATTTAACAGAAGTCAAATTCCTAATGTATAGATTTGAACTGTACAACATAATGGTACCTTCTTTGCTGGATGTGACAGAGTCCATATCAGCTCATATGTCAACACAACTAATTTCAGGCTTCATGCTTTCATCTTTATGTATGACACACATAAGAAAGTGTTTTTCTACTATAAATATTAAATTAAAACTTAATTTTGTGTAATAAATTAAAACTTATTAGAAGAAAACTGACCATGTATATTTGCCTCCATTTGACTTAATACATTGTAAAGCTCAATGAGAAAAACAGCACAACTAAAATAGTTAAGATTTATAGTTACATTGAAAGGCTAAGATAAATATAAAGTATGTTTTTCTGTTTAAGAGTAACATTCATCTTTTTTATAAATACTGCTTGATGGAGTATTAATAATATTAATATTTGGGCTGGACATGATGATGCATGCCTATAATCCTAGCTACTCAAGAGACTAAGGCAGGAGGGGTTGCAAATTCAAGATTGACCTAGGCAATTTAGCAACACACAGTCTCAAAACAAATAAAATAGTAGCTTAGTAATAAAGCACTCTTGGGTTTGATGCACAGTAATGCAAAAAACAAATAATATTAATATTTGGACTTCAAGAATGTGAAGTGGCTAATAAATGACCACTTTTATTTTTCACTATACAATGTCTTCAGGTTGGAAAACAGGATACTTCAGGTAATTGGCTTTGAAGAAACTGGAGGTGGTGCATGCCTGTAATCCCAGCAGCCTGGGAGGCTGAGGCAATAAGCAACTCAGTGAGATCCTGTCTCTCCCTCATACCACACCCCACCTCACCCCCCCACCCCCCCAAAAAAGAAAGAAATTGGCTTCAAGTAAAACAATGACTTACATTCAAGTCACAGTGCCCTGCTTTCGGGTTATCTTTTGAGCAATAAAATGTCCCAGATTAGAAATGACTCTGGGCAGCACTTCCATTTTATGCACATTAAATATCTAAGACTGAGCACCAGAACACAATAGAGACAACACAAAGTCCTCCTTGAATCAAGTGTCTTAAATAAATACCTGTCAGGAAATTAAAGCAAAACAATATCTATATAAAATATATTTCATATCCAACATACTGGTCAAATATTTTCTCAATGAATAGAAAGCTTTTATATAATTAAGGAATATTTAAAATTGATCATTCACTGCCTTGGCTATTAAACATACATCCTCAGAATGATATAATTCAGTGATAGTTCATGATACTTAAAGATAGGTAAGATATCTTTCACTTCAAAAAAAAAATTTTAATATTTTTTAGTTGTAGGTGGACACAATCTCTTTTTATTTCATTTTTTTTAATGTGGTGCTGAGGTTCGAACCCAGTGCCTCATGTGTGCTAGGTGAGCGCTCTACCACTGAGCCACAACCCCAGTCCCTTACTTCAAATTTTTTTTAACAACATCTTTATTTTATTTTTATGAGGTGCTGAGAATCGAACCCAGTGCCTCATACATGCTAGGCGAGCGCATTACCACTTGAGCCACATCCCCAGCTCTCACTTCAAATTTTTAAAGTTATTTTTGAACAAAAATACTGTTATTTTCTACCCCTAGGTACTATGGTTCACTAGCTTAATTCAGGATTTTAAAATAGTGAGGCAAAATCTTATAACATTTAATTTTGTTCTGTTACTCTTTTTGAATAAAGTTATAAGTACTTTAAATTATGCCATAATAATCCGTATTCTCCTGCAGTGATCAGGGGAAGTAGTACGTGAGTTGATAGTTACCTACCTACTATAATACACACTATTCAAGGCACTTATACATTTATTTAATCTCATAGTAAATTAGGGATTACAATCTTCATTTTTCATATGAAGATGAAAGAACTTGCACAAAGAAATTTTCATTCAGACAGACTTTTTCACTATAGTTTGCCCACTTAATTTCTTATTTTAAAAAGTATATGGTACTGGGGATGTAGCTTACTGGTACAGCACTTGTCCATCACACACATGACCTTGGGTTTAACCTCTAGCACTTCAAAAAATAAAAATAAAAAAGCATTTGGTGAGAATAATTTACTCTTACTTCGGCTGTCTTTTGCCTATATTATGAATGAAGACATAACATTACCATTAAATGGTTACCTACTGTGTGTAAAGCATTCATAAATGGTTATTTAATTTTCACAATAACCCAACATGAGAAATATTCCTTCAGAGGAGAAAATGGTTACTCAGAAGTACAGTGACTTCCTTAAGGTCACATAAGTAAACAGAACACAACATTATTTAATTTTTACTAGAAGAATCTAATTATGGGTAATACACAACTGGCAGCTTTTTTCCCCTTAGAATACACAATTTTCTCTTCAGGACTCCATTTTAAATATTTAAATTATATAATCACATTACTACAGCATCTCAAATGTTTACTTAGAAACATTAATTAAAAGCATTCAAATCACATAGCTCCAAATTGTGTTTCAAAATAAGTTCTGTTATAGTAGTACATTTCTTAGTCATTTTGTGGCTTATTGCACTTCCGGCAAGAGCTATTGATAAACTTCCTCTGTTCTGCAGAAACCATTTTAGTGACTAGAGGACCACTTTTAATCTGAGGTGAATCACCCCTTTTGCTTTCTTAGCCAAAACACCAACATGTCCTATTAGAACAACAATTTGGCACTCTGCAAAAGAAGTTAACAGGTAAGAAAATTTTCACATGGGCCATCTGGTTTACTTTTTGCTTTATACAAAATGTATTTTAAAAACTAATATATTATTAGTATTTAAAACTTAAATTCAACTCTTTTATAATTTATAGATGTCTGTAACAGGTTTTCATGGATTTACTGAATGAAATTAAAAAATACTCAGTGTTGAGCTTGCCTTAGAAAAAGATTTTTTCCCCTAGGTTTTTATAATTATAAGCCCATTGACTTAATCAAAATGTTTGTTAACCTTAGTTTTAAAATGAAAATAAATAAATACAGCCATAGAAGATAAATCTAAGGACTACAAATAAAATTAGATTCTATGAGCTATGACTAAAATAATGTTAAAATTTCTAGGGATTGGGGATGTAGATCAGTTGTTGAGTGACTATCTAGCATGAAGTCCTGCTTTGTTCCCCAGCACCACACACACATATAAACACAATATTCTAATTTGCTTTTTATAAAATTTTCCTATCTACAATATAATGTATAGATTTAAATTATTTTTATTTTTTTAATCCTCTTTAGATTCCATAGGTCACCTTCACTTAATTTAAAAAGAAATAAAAAGATGATGTACTTGATTATTATTTTTATAGAAATAGAATTTTATATAAGTAATAATGAAAATACTGTAATTCATTTTAAAAGCTCCCTAAGCAAAAATGTTATGACAGAATGTTCACATATATTCATATCATCTGCATGTTTATGTCACATATTCTTATCTGAGACTTTAATAAAGATACAGGGAAAAAAAACACAGAATAAACAACAGAAAACTGTTAATGCATACAAAAGATGTTTACACGTGAGTAAACTGGGCAATTACAAAGTAGATTTGTCCTCTAAATAAAAATTGCAAAAAGTCTACACAGATCTGCAATTTCAAGGAATAAATTCACAGTGGTTTATATTCTATCTCAACACTTCATAAACACTTTCTCTTATAGTAGTACACTTTGAATTTCTTCTAAATGGATTACCTGTAAGAAGTTATTACAGAAGCTGGAAAAAGAAAAGATTTTTTTAAAGATAAGACTTATCTAAAAAAGACAAGTCTTAAAAAAGGATTAGTCCCTAATTCAATGCTTAATAGCATCTGTTTTTCAACTAATTCCTACATAATTCTACTTAGAAGTAAAATTATCAATTCTGAACAAATTTCAATTTGGTAAACATAAATCTAATACCTTTTAATACCTAATCTTTAAGAAAGTACCACAGATTTCCCAGTGAACTTTCTAAATAAGATAACTGATAGGATAACCATTAAAAACTCCCATAGCTGTTTTTCACAGAATCACAGGACCAACATAGGCTTTCTGGTAGTTCTTTTCCTACTCTATATGCAAGCCTACCTCCAAAAGTTGCTCACATATTGATTTCCAGAGAGCTTATATCTTTTTCCTTCATAAAACATTTATAATTCTGCTACGAAAGGCCGCACAGCATGTAGTAGATGGAAAGGGCTCTGGTACAACACTGGCACAGCTTATTAGTGCCACTACTTAGAGCTTTGACACTTTGTCTATAATACATAAATTCTCTCAGTTTCCCTTTTTATAAGATGAAAATACTACCCTCTGGCTCATTAAAATAGAATAGTGCCTAGCATTTTTGGGGGGTTCTTTAGATGATACTTATTACTATTGATAAAACATGGTCATCAAATACTACCTTCTGTAATTCAGTATTAATTTCATTTTCTGCTCTTCCTCAAGACACAGAACTGTTCTTTTCCTCCTTTTATGGTTTCAAAACTTCTCTAGTTGGAAATACCACTACTACTAAATTTTAATCTATTATATTTGCACTATAACTTACTTTTATTATCTCAAAGTAACTGGAATATAGATAGATACGATTTTTGATATAGCCATCTACTATTGCCTTTTTACCTATGATATATTCTCCAAATCTTTTTGATTCCCTTTAAAAGATAATATTTCCTATCATATCCAACTTAACATCATCAATTTTAAATGTTGGACCTTTCATGTACTTGTGCATTATATTCATGAGAACATGCCTAATACATGGGGTTCCTGCTTCACTGTTAACTGCCTTTAACATGCTTATTGATTAAAGCCTCAAAGTGTCAGCCTAAAATAATGAATAAATACTTTCATATGAAGGTTGACAAATTTAAGATTTGCCTGAGTAAGAGATTAAAGGATTTCTAGAAAAATCCTACACAGAATGGGAATAGGTTCTTTGAAGTGATTGGCAGGTATACATCTGGATAGTTTTGGGGGAGGGAGGGATGGGAAGAATCTTAAAGATCCTTACAGCAGACAGTGTGCAATTAAAACTAAATGAGCTTGAGAGGCTGATTCATTAGACTCCTCCATCTTGGACAGACAGCTCCTTTCTGCTGGTTCCCATACCCACAAACAGGCCAGTGACAGGGAGTAGCACTTTGTAGTTTGGTCCTTTAATCTTTTCCTCCCACTACATCTTATCCACTTCGACTTTCTTTAGTAACTTCTTGCTAATTACATAACCATATTGCTTTTAGTTGTTTTTTTAATTTTTCTTTGTTGCTTCCTATAATTTTTGTTTCATTTTTCTCTTCTGCTATTTGTATTTCTTTACATCCTCTTTTCATATTCTTCTAAGTTTTCTTCTCTTTTTCATTTCTCTGTCCCATATTGTTCTTTCTACTATCTTCTTCCCCTGCAGAACAATGCACTTCACATACATACCACCTACATGCTAAAAGCATGTATGTTAAATAATTTTCTGTACTTTTGCAATAACACTAAGTCTTGAAAAAAGTCCATTTTTTCACCAGTATATCCACTTCTACTTAGTCTTTTTTTAAGTCTTACTCCTTTTCTGAACTATTCTAAATGGCTGTAGTATGATTCTAACAGACTCCAATATTCTGATACTCAGATCCTAAAAGGGTAAAAAAAAAAAAAAAAAAAAAACACCTGAAGAGTAGGGAAAAGTGGTAGGAGAGGTAAAAAGTGGAATTTGTTGTTGTAACCCTTAAATGACAAGTGAAAATTTCACAGTGGGTTCTACTAACTTCCTATTGATACAAGAGGATATAAACCTACCACAATTGATTTTACAAACTCCACTGAGTTTATTTGTGTTTCTGCTTGGGCTCTTTCCTCCTTGACTGCCTTTTACAGCTAACTAAAAAGAGGAACCATATGGTTGCTTTATTTTAAGCAAAGTCACAAAGGAGGAAATATTTCTAGCCGAAGACAGCTCATGGCCTATATGTTCTGTTGCTTTGCAAAGCATTTTCTAGAAATATTTAAAAAATAAAACTCCAAAGAATAAGATTTTCTAACAAAGCCTCCCCACCACCCTTCTTTATGGAGGCTATAAGAATAGTAGGTAGGTTGGAATTGCACCTAGAGATGACTCAAATCCTAATATTATTGCTAAGTTTCAGATTTTCCCCTTTTAAACATTTTTTTAAATGAACAAAAAATAATGTACTGACTTAATATTTTGCTTTCTCTGTTTATATTCTTCTGGTAGCAGGTTTTTTTTTTTTTTTAAGTACTAGAGTCTGAGCCCAGGGACACTTCACACCTCAGCTACATCCCAGCCCTTTTAAATTTTTTTGAAATACTTTTTTAGTTATACATGGACACAATATCTTTATTTTGTTTATTTATTTTTATGTGGTGCTGAGGATCAAACACAGTGTCTCACATGTGTAAAGCAGGCGCTCAGCCACTGAGCCACAAACCCAGCCCCATTTATTTATTTATTTATTTATTTTATTTTGAGGCAGCTCTTCACTAAATTGCTGAAGGTCTTGTTAAGTTGCTGAGGCTGGCCTCAAACTTGCAACCCTCCTGTCTCAGCCTCCCAAGTGGCAGGGATCAGAGGCATGTGATACCATGCCCAGCCTGGTAGAAGTCTTAAGAAAAAGTAAAATGGAAAGGAATCAAGAAGTCCTATAGAGGTTAAATGTTTGTTTTCAGAACTCCTAATGTAGAAGGTATTATACTGCAGAGGAATTAAAATACAAAAACATGAGACAGTGAGGGGCATTAGAAAGAATATAAGCTTTGAACAAATAAAGCAGTAAAATAAACTAAGACTATAATGATGGGGTGGCAAGAGAATGAAGTATGATGAATCTGGGAAAGGAAGGAAGGAAAGAAGAAAAGAAAAATAGTAAAGCTCTGAAATCAGATGGTCCTGGGCACAAGTTCCCAGTCTATCACTAACAGTGATGTAATATGGGCAAACTGCTTAACCCACTAGAATCTGTCGCTTTATTTATAAATCAAGAGTCATTCTTCATAAAGCCATTTAAATATTAAATGAAGTAACATGTATGTAAAATATCTGGGATGGATGGTATAACACAGTTGTTCTAGATAAATATTTTTCTTTTTTGTTTCATTCTGCCTTTGTCAAAGTTCTTTATAATCTTGCTTGAGAAAATAATACAAACAAAATATGAGAAGCCAAGTGATTAAAAAAAAACATTACTTGAGAGAATAGAAGTGTGAGTGAGGTACACACATGAAAGTATCTAAGGAACCATAAAGACAGTAAGAATTAGGAAGATTCAGGGAATAGCTGATCTCTGGGCTGTGGTCAGTCACAGAGAACTTGGTTCAAGAAGGGAAATTTAAACTGAAGTCTATAAGAAGAAGACAGGTTCAGATACACAGTTTGAAGGGGGAAGAGAATAGGGATGGGGAAAACCACATTCTAACATGGTGGAAAACAGCATAATTAAAAGGTATCTGTTTAGAGAGAAAGGTATGGGTTTACAAATTTATGTAAGGAAGAAAACTCAGTTTAGAAGATTTACTTTGACTGAAACGGGGAACCCTCAAGCAAAGGAGTAGTAACCAGATCATGAATGCTTTTCATCAGCAGTGGGCAGGAAAGGTGAAAGAACTATTTTAAAATTTAGACTTGAAGCATTAAAGAGAAAGAGAGTACAAAGGAAAAGATAGAATGGGGAAAAAAATTTCAATGTCTTTTCTTCTCAAATAGGGTCATTTACCATCACTGCACATTAGCTGGTGTAGGATAAGCAGTGAAAACTACTCAAGTATGGTGAAAAGTCTGTTTTAGAAACCTTTTACTGTACCTTGAAACAGAGTATCACATCTCTCTCTGTTAGACTTTCTATAAATCATAGGAAAAATAGTTTCTTATTATATATACACCAGGATCTAACACTGAGATTTTCCTTTCCCACAGGTTAAGAAATAGCTGGTAGTTACCATTGTGTTTGACGACACACAAAACAATACGCTGCACTCAGAACTGAAAGTTGTCTTCCTATATATAGTTCCTTATTATAGAGATAAGGCAACTGACAACAGGAGAGATTAAGTGACTAGTGCTTGTGGTTAGATATGAAGTTAAGTGGCAGAGATAAAACTGGAACTTAATTCTTGAAGTTTTATTATTACCACATCTCACAAAAAGCTCTACCTTCCCAAAATGGCTAGTTTTCCCAAGCCCCTATTGCTTAATTAATTCTCATTTTTAAGACTTAGTTCCAGTTTCACAGTTTCACTCTTCTGGGAAACTTTCCTGAAGCCCTCCCAGACTAAATTAGTTCCTCTGTGTATTTCCTAAATACTTTTGTGAGAAAGTTTATTAAATTATTGTCTTTTTTTTTTTTAAATACCTGTTTAGCTACTAAAAGAATCTGGAACACTTGAAAGGCAGAAACTATTTTTTTTGTGTGTGTACCAGGGATTGAATCCAGGGGCGCTTAACCACAGAGCCACATCCCCAGCCCCTTTCTATACTTTATTTAGAGACAGGGTTTTGATAAGTTACTTAGGGCCTCACTAAGTTGCTGAGGCTTTGAACTCACCTTCTTCCTGCCTCAGCCTCCTGAACTGCTGGGATTACAGACATGAGTCACTGTGCCTGGCAACTTTTTTAAATAACCTAAACCTAGACAGGACTTGACACAAATATGGTGTTTGGCAATACACTAATGAAAGTTAGCAGCAGGTGTGTTTGAAAAAGTGGATAAGGGTGACTTGACCAGGTTTGGAGATCTGTCTAGATATTGAGCCTATGATTTTGAGTTGGATTTTCTTTTTTTGTTTGTTTGTTTTTTTAATATTTATTTTTTAGTTCTAAGTGGACACAATATCTTTATTTTACATTTACATGGTGCTGAGGATCAAACCCAGTGACTCACACGTGCTAGGAAAGTACTCTACCACTGAGCCACAATCCCAGCCCTTTGAGTTGATTTTCTTTTAAAAAATATATGCTTTTTAGCATAGGTATGCATGCTAGACACTGAGGATGCCACAAAGATTACCAATACAATGAACTTAGTGCACATATGATTAATCAAAAAAAAGAGAATCTGTAATCCCAGCAGCTCAGGAGGCTGAGACAGGAGGATTGTGACTTCAAAGCCAGACTTAGCAATTTAGTGAGGTCCTAAGTAACTCAGGGAGACCCTGTCTCTAAATAAAATATAAAAAGGGCTGGGAATGTGGCTCAATGGTTAAGTGCCCCATGGGTTTGATCCCTGTTAGCAAAAAAAAAAAAAAAAAATTCTGAGAGTTCTCTGTGACAGCTTTGAGATAAAGATCAATTACATTTTCAACATGTTCAATTTGCTGAGAGTGAAATACATACATGGAATGTTCACAGGTTGGGAGTTATGACATAAAGATGTGATTTAAAATCTTACAGGAACAAAGAAAAGTAGGTAAGAGGGAGAAGTGAATATCAAGTATCTACATTTAGGAGATAGGAGAAAAAGAGGAGCTAATGAAATTGACATGAAGGAAGACAGTATTTCAAAAAGCTACTCAAATACTAGTGAGGGAATAGTGAGTAGTGGCAAATGTAAGACAATTAAGTAAAGACAATTGGATCAAGGTAGGAGGAGACCAATAGTGTTCTTCAAGGCAGCAGAATCAACACATTTCTAGTAACAGAGGATGAGAAAAAGTAGACAGCACTTGGACCAAGCATAATGAGCCAATGCACCTGAGAAGTATGATATGAGATGAAGGAATATAATGCAAGAAAGCTAGAGGGGCTGCAGGGCCAAATACAGATCTTATACCAGGATTAAAAGAGTGCTGAGGGGCTGGGGTTGTGGCTCAACGGTAGAGCGCTTGCCTAGCATGTGCAAGGCCCTGGGTTTGATCCTCAGCACCACATAAAAATAAACAAATAAAATAAAGGTATTGTGTCCAACTAAAACTAAAAAATTAACAAATAATATCAAAAGAGAGTTGAGTATGGTAATGCATACCTATAGCCCCAGGGAGACTGATGCTGAAGAATTTTGAGTTCAAGTCTAGCATGAGCAACACAGTGAGACCCCCATCCCAAAGGGAAACAAGACATTACTACCTAAGAGGTCCAAATGCTATATGATAAGTTGGAGTATATTCAAGAGTTATTTATGCTAGCCTACAGTTTGTCAAGTATAAATTAGAATAATAAACATTAATTGGGTACCCACCTGCTTTATGCCAGGCATTGTAATGTAAAGTCAAATGTAACTAGATAACTTAAGATACCAACTGATACTTAATTGTCTCTTTCTTTCTTTCTTTCTTTTTTTTTAATTATAAAGCTACTGGTAAAGAGGAAACAGATCTCAAATGGATTCCAAATATTTCATCTTAATTTTGTTTTCTGGATACCTGAACAGTATATTTTGCTCAGGGACAGAAGCAAATACAACAGAAAAGCAACCACAATCCACTTTATTTACATCATCAATGCCATATAGCTCAGCTAAAGTTCAAAACACAACAGAGAATCTTTCAGATCAACCAAAACAATCAATAACATCTGTCAAAGTCACTGCTGGACAACCAACATCAGCTATCCGTACCCTTTCTGGAAAACCAACAAAATATACTCCTGCTAGACCACTTACCTATATCATCACCAATCAACCAACAGCAGTAGCCAGCACTTCATTCTCACAAACAGCATCAGATATGTCGACCTCTACCAGACAACTACTGCCTTCTGCCCACACTTCCATCAGACAACCATCAACATCATCACTTTCCTACACTCCTACTCAACAACCATCGTACACTCCTACTCAACAACCGTCGTTACCTGTAGACACATCTTCTAGAAAATCAGTGCTACCGACTGTTGGTTATCTATCCATACAGTCAACACCAGCTGTCCAAAATTTACCTGGGAATACACCAGGGTTCAATTTAACTACCACTAACAAAAGAATTTCAAATAATTATAATTCAATAACTGCCATATTAATCGGTACAATTCTGACTTCTATGCTCGTAGCTATAATCGTAATTGTACTATGGAAATGCTTGAGAAAACCAGTTTTAAATGATCAAAACTGGGCAGGCAGGTCTCCATTTGCTGATGGAGAAACCCCTGATATATGTATGGATAACATTAGGGAAAATGAAGTATCCACAAAACGTACATCAATTGTTTCACTTATGACCTGGAAACCCAGCAAAAGCACACTTTTAGCAGATGACTTAGAAATTAAGTTGTTTCAATCAAGTGAAAACATTGAAGATGCCAACGACCCCAAAACAGAGAAAATAAAAGATCAAGTAAATGGTACATCAGATGACAGTGCTGATGGGTCAACAATTGGTACCGCTGTTTCTTCTTCAGATGATTCTAATCAAGATTTTAATCAGCCTCCACCACCTCCCCTCCTTGATTTGGAAGGACGAGAGAGTAACCAATCTGACAAACACATAATGACAATTGTACCTCCTCTTCCAAATGATCCTACTAATTTCCAACCAACTCTGAACAGTCTGAATCAAGACTCTGAAGATCATAATTCTAAAACCAAACAGTCATTTACATCATGCCCTGACTCATTTAATTTGCCCTTGCCACCAGAAGATTTTATAAAAAATCAAGAAGATTCCAACAATGAGATCCAGTGTCAAGAGTTTTCTATACTTCCTGACTCTAATCAAGATTTTAATGATTCTCTGCCACCACCACCTGCAGAATTATTGTAAATATCACAACTTACTTTTAGCCAATCTTCTATCTTTAAATGATTCTATCTTCTATTATTCCTCAAGTGATGTAATATATAAAATGTTAAATTGGTAGCCAATTTCAATCTTTTATTCAGGAACTACCAGAAATGTATACAAAACCCACGTGTATAAGCGAATTTTTTTTTAAATTATAAAACAATGATATGTTTATTAGCTATAAAACCTGCCATTAAAGTACATTTTACATGTGAACATTATATATGTCAATAACTTACATATTTTGAAACCTAGCAATTGACATGTATTTCTTACTACCCAACAGACTTTTTTTTTCCTGAAAAGCTTTCTATAAACTTGTCTTAAATAAATGCAATTTAATTTTTCCATTTCAAAGTTTTGGAAGGAATATTAAGTATACATTCCAAGTTTTAAATTAATACCTTAAATGTTAAATAAAAATATTCGAAGTTTATGAGAAGGAAATACTTAAATGTTTGTGAATAAAAAAATTTTCCTCTTTGGTCTCACTTGAAATAGTAAATCAAACATACTAAAACATCAAACTATAGGGTTGACTTAGGACTTTGCCCTGAAAAAAATATGAGCATGCACCATGAAATACCATGAAATGCTAGCATTTTTCCCATCATGCTGAGAGTGAAATATTTTAAACTAGCCTACTTAGAAAGTTACTTACGGGATGAGGGGCTAGGGTTGTGGCTCAGTGGTCAAGCGCTTGCCTAGCATGTGCGAGGCTCTGGGTTCGATCCTCAGCACCACATAAAAATAAAATAAAGGTATTGTGTCCACCTACAACTAAATAAACAAAATATTGAAGAAAAAAAAAAAAAGAAAGTTACTTCCTGGGGCTGGAAATAGCTCAGTGGTAGAGTGCTTGGTTAGTAAGTGCAAAGCCTTAAGTTCAATTCTCAGCACTGGAATAAAAAAAAAAAAAAAGTCACTTCCTTATACACCTAAAGCACCTAAACAAAATGAAGTGTTAGGAAGAGAGGGAGAAAGAAACCTTTTGTCACTATACATTGAAGCTTGCATTTTTTGCTACCAGGGATTGAACCCAGTGGCATATCCCCAACATTTTTTGAGGCATAAAAGTTGTTTTTTTTTTCCTAAAAATTTTTATTAATTATTGATGGGCCTTTATTCATTTATTTGTTTATATGTTGTGTTGAGAATCGAACCCAGAGCCTGACACATGCTAGGCAAGCACGCTACCACTGAGCCACACCCCAGCCCTAAAAGTTGTTTTTAAACAAACTTTTTAAAATGCAGAATATTTCATCTTTTATCCACTACCTGACAGGTGATAAATGTGAGATATCAGAATAGTGATGAGACCAATGTTTGTCAAAATGAAGATGAAGAGCAATCATGGTCTGAACTTTCGGACATGCCAGCTTAGGTTTGCAGTAGTGATTCTTTGCCCAACAAGTACATATTTTTCCTCTTTATTCCCAAATGAACTCCAGCGGGAGAGACTTAGAATTAAATGTGGTAACCTTACTGGTAGCTTAGCCTTGGAGAATCTTTCATAGTTCTGGGATTTTTCAGAAGAGAATACAGTATTTATTGGTAGTACCAGTTTTCAAGAAACTAATAAAGTTCCATCTTTAATAAAAAAAATAATAAGGCTTTTAGACTTTGGAATTTTCTATATAACATTAGTCCTTTAATCTTCTAAGCCATTTCTTACTGATCATTAACACTTTTTATCCAGCAAGCATTCTTCAAGCTACTTACTGTTCCTGAATAAGCACGATGTTTATCATCATATTGAATTGGTTCTCTTCTAACTAAAAAGTTTTTTGTGTGTGTTTTTCTAACTTAGCATTTTTAGGGCTAGTTTACCCAGCAGCTATCAGGAGTTGAAGAATTTCTTGCAATTCTTTGGAATTTTAAGTATTTTGGTTATGGTAAATGATAAGATGTGTTTATCTTTAATCAAGTCTTTGATATACCTTGAATCATAATAACCCATAAATTTCACATACAAGGTAGTTAGTTACCTAAAGGGCTCTTTCCACATTTTTGTCCTTGTCAACACCTTCCTTCTTGACTGCTTAAAGGATGGGAAATATAGAAAAAGAAAAACTCTTAGATAAAACAGGAGCTGATGACCAGATCAGAGTTTTGTTTGATTTCTTCGAATACTATAGGCAAGTTTTTTCTTTCGGTTCTTTGAACAACAGAAGAAAAGACTACTGACAGCAGCTGGGAAGTTTTGTTTTTTAAAAGAAATTCTCTGCTGGGAAAAACAATTCATGTTTACTACATGCCATGTTCCCCTACTGAGGGCAGAGAAAACTAAATGGCCAAATAGTTGTAATCCTTGCTTACTTATTAGAAGGATGAAATGGAAGCTAATATGAGAAACAGGAGGGAAGAAAATGCTGGAACAAAGAAAAACTTCAGCAAAAGGTTAAAGAACTGGGATCCAGAAGAAAGAGTTTATTTCATAAAAACAGCAAAGGACAAGGCTCAAGGGAATAAAAGTAGACTGACTGTCATACCACATACCAGTGGTGCTCTTACCAGATCTGCAATAACCAGATTCAGAAACAAGCTAAAGACCATCTAATTCAATTCTTTTTTGTTTGTTAACTGCTGAGAAAACAGGACCAGGGAGAGCAACAGAGTTGCTTAGAAATAGTACCAAAAGCTGAGTTCACTCCTGATCTAACATTCTTTCCCTCAATCTATAACCAAAAAACACCCAATTTATTCACTAATATATAAACACACACGTGCACATATATAGGTTGTGGGGATACAATGACTCAGACAAGAGTAATCTGAAATTGTTGATATTATCTAATTCTAACCAAAAAGTAAAGTAGCAAAATACATGAGCACCAACATAATTAAAACACTATAGTTCTGGCATATGATTAAACAAACAGATCAATGGGGCAGAATCAAAAGCTCAGAAACAGACTTCAAATATCAACAGTGGGAAAAAGTGTTGGGACAATCAGATATTTGGAAAAGACAAAACGGGAGCCACATTTCACACAAAATATGAAATTATTTTCGTAACAAGCAAATAAAGCTGAATTCCTTTATAATCTGGAGATGGGATAACATTTTCCTAGCTGAGAATCAACTAAAAGCAATAAAAAGAAAAGAAAGATTTACATAAAACTTATAAAAGCCAAAAAACAAAAGCATTATTAAAAATACTAAAGAAAGGGCTGGGGAGGTGGCTCAAGAGGTAGCACGCTCGCCTGGCATGCGTGCGGACCTGGTTCAATCCTCAGCACCACATACAAAACAAAGATGTTGTGTCCGCCGAAAACTAAAAAATAAATATTAAAATTGTCTCTMTCTCTCTCTCCCTCTCTCTTAAAAAAAAAGATGGAGAAATCTTCAAAATAATTATTAAGGTGGGAAAAAATGGGCTGGGATTGTGGTTCAGTGGCAGAGCTCTTGCCTAGCAAGTGTGAGGCACTGGGTTCAATTCTCAGCACCATATAAAAATAAATAAAATAAAGGTCCATCACAACTAAAAAAATATTTTTTAACAAAAGAAGAAACTAAGTCACATAACAGTGTATATGGTATGCAACCTTTCATATAAGGGGGGGATAAGAACATAAAATACACATACACATCTATTTCTGTACGTTTGTAAAAAGAAATACTGTTAAAAGACAACTAAAAGCTAATAAAAATAGTCACCAATAGGGGAAGGAAAGAAATAGGATGAAGCAGTCAGAGAAGCAAGATTTCTGTCAATATTTCTTGTTGCATAATTTTGACTTGAGTGATCCCTAAAAACCCAAACTGAAAAATAAATGAACCGATTATGATTTGAATGTGAGGTGTCCCCCAAAGGCAATGCAAGAAAACTTAGAAGTGAAATGGCTGGGTTATGAGAACTTTAGCCCAATCAGAGAATTAATCCCCTGCTAAGGATTAACTATCCAGTGATAGCTGAAGGTAGGCAGGATGTGGTTGGAGAAGGGAGGTTCCCAGAGGTGTGCCTTTGAGGCATATATTTTGTATCTGGAAAGTGGAGTCTCTCTCTGGCTCCTGCTGTACTGTTTTGAGTTGTTCCCTCTGTCACACACTTCTGACCTGATGTTGTGCCTCACTTCAGGCCCTCAGGAATGGAGCCAGCCCTCTATGGACCTCTGAAACCATGAGCCCAAAATAAACTTTTCCTCCTCTAATTGTTCTCTTCAGGTCTTTTGGTCACAGCGGCAAAAAAGCTAACTAAAACACTAACTATATATCAAGTTGGTGATACAGAAATGTAAAGAAAATAATTAGGGCTGTGTTTGTGGCTCAGTGGTAGAGTGCTCGCTTAGCATGCATGAGGCACTGGATTTGATCTTAAGCACCACATAAAAATAAAATAACAATACTGTGTCCACCTACAATTGAAAAATAAACATTAAAAAAGAAAGAAAATAATTATTTCAAGTTGTATTAGAACACAAGAATTGAAGCTGGGCATGGTGGTACAGGCCTGTAAATCCCAGCAACTCATGAGGCTGAGACTGGAGGATTTCAAATTTGAGGCCAGCCTCACCAACATTAGTGAGATCCTGTTTTTAAAAAAAGAAAATGACTGAAGATATGGCTTAGTGACAAATACCAAAACCAAAAACAATCCACAATTGCCTATATGCCATTAGTGAAATATATTCCAAGAATGCAGCTACAAAGAAATCTTTAACTTTATTCAATAGTTTGTAATCCAGTTATAGCAGTACTGGTATTATTTTAAAACTACTGTGGGATGATGATAATCAAGCAATTATGTTAATACTGTTAGGAATCATTTATAGGAAATACAGGAGGCAGAAGAACAAATTAAATCCTTCTAAAGAAGCAAACAGATTAATCCAGAATCAAGGACATCTAGAGAACTGAAGGGAAAAAAGGAGGGGGAAAATGGGTGAAGACACTGATGCACTTGGATTTTGATATGATAATTTCTATTTTGTCAGTCCTTCCATATTTTTTTGTTTTGTTTTTGGTACCAGGGATTGAACCCAGAAGCACTTAACCACTGAGTCACATCCCCAGCACGCCTCCCACCCCTTTTTTAAAAAATATTTTTTAGTCGTTATTGGATACAATACCTTTATTTTATTTATTTTTATGTGATGCTGAGGATCGAACCCAGGGCCTTGCATGTGCTAGGCAAGCGCTCTACCACTGAGCCAAAACCCCAGCCTTCCCCAGCCCTCCCCAG